CTCATACCTGTAACCCATAACAGATACTTACTATACTTATGCTAAGTTCACTGTGATCTTGAAGTGCAGTGTCAATGGTAGAACATTTCTTAGGTGAAGTGTTTTGTAATGCAGTAGCAACTGAGGATCCCATTCTGGGCTGGGGACCCATTATACTATGCAACCTACATTTAGGTAAACACAGCCCTTGCCCTATATAATTATCTAAATTATATATTATACAAAAAATTAAAATAAAGAAAAAAATTGAGTAACCAAAGCTAGATGGAAATTAGATAAATGCATCTTTCAGGATTAAACAGAAGTGATTTAACTATAAAAACTGATGTGTCATAAGAATTGCTTAAGTGTTATCTCTGCTTTCTTGATGTTTGGAAAGATATAGCTCAGGAAATACCAAGATTGTGCTTAATTAAGAATAATCAATTAAGTTAAATACAGCAAAGTTGATGACACTAGAGATAGAGATGGGTAATTTATGGGGGAAAAAAAGACAAGCAATATCATATGCCATGAGAGATGGCCATCATGGAGATTAAATAATTTTAAAAGCATGCCAAAGAAAGGAACTTTATAGTAAATGAATTAACTTCACAAAGTAACCTGGTCATTAGCCTTAGAAAGGTTTGTCTACCCAACTACATAGGAAAAAAGATCTGCAAAAATGCTTTCATATTGATCATAAAGAACTTCACTTATGCAGATACCCAGTAAGGTAACAATTGTGGAATGATCAAGAAAAATTATTTCTAGAAACAGTTTCCATTTCACAATTCAACAGCTAATCTAGGAGACAGGAGGTTCAGTTAAGCATATTACAGGAAATTAAATGGCTCTTCCATAGGAGATAAAGGTTGAGCTAGTAAACTATAACATTGGTTGTAGTGATTTTAATATGATCTTCTTTGAGGAGCCTATTGATATCAATACTTCCATGCAGCAATTGCTATATTGAAAAAGTCTGAGCCACATTTAACACTGAGAAATATACATTGGATAACACTGCTTTTATATGAAAATAAGTAAATCATTCACTGGGCACTTGTGTGAAACAGAATACTGTAGGCCAAATTCAGAGGGGATGAGAGAGGTGAGTTGATGTAATTCACATGCCATGTACTCAGGCAAATGATGCAGGTTAAAGGAGTAGCTTATTTGACCTCACTACTTGCATCCTTTTGGAGCTGCTTTTCTTCATATCCTCTCTTCAGGCTTCTGATACTCAGGCAAATGATGCAGGTTAAAGGGGTAGCTTATTTGACCTCACTACTTGAATCCTTTTGGAGCTGCTTTTCTTCAAATCCTCTCTTCAGGCTTCTGGGAAGCAAATTAAATCAGTTTTGAGCTAATTTCAGAGGTGACAGGGACCCAGCAATTTTCATGTCTGCAATTGTAAAGCAGCATAAGACAGGGCAGGGAAAACAGAACGTGCAAGTTAGAGTCACTTCTGAATTTGGCATTATGACTTCAAGAGGCAACCAGACAGCAAGAACAGATAGCTCTTGCAGACATGATCCTGTTTTCATGCAAATGTACCTCTGTGTCAGAATGGGAAAGAGAAAGACGTATAGAAATGTGTTTTGTCTACAAAATTACTCTCTCAGCAACCTGTTTTCAATGAAGTTTTCAGGGACATGACAAAAATTATAATTACCACTCCCTGCTTTTTTATGCTTTTTTTTTGTTTCTCTGTTATATTGTTTTTTACTCTGCTCTCTTCCCTTTTTGTCTAAATTATTTTTCTTCCCCAATCATATGTCCCTGTTTTTCAAATGCTGTATTTTGGTGTATTTCTTAATTCAATCTTTTTTCCCCAGTTCCCTTGTTTTCCTTTGAGTCTCATTCTGTTGCTGTCACAATGGCAACAATATGCTTCTCTACACACAAGCCAACTACAAAATTTCCTCAGCATGAGTACTGTTCAAGATTTCAGTCTGTGACTTCCCCTTAATTAGCATCACACAACATCTCCAACAGAAAGAACACAATGCAGGAATTTTATTTTCCCCCACAGCTCTGCAGGATGAGTCATAAGAAATGTTAAACAATTAATTTATACCAGTTTTAATTTATAAATTGCTGGATTTTTGCCTGAATTTGATACACTGATGTAAAATTAGAAAATAGAGCATGAGTCAGCAAGAATAAAAACCAACCGGTATCTACATTATGAAAAGCTCTGGAACAAAGTCAGTGTGTATAACTTGTATGCCTGCATGCATTCCTTTGGCTCATGAAACACATTTTTGGCTTGATTAGATCAACACTACTATATGGATAAAAACTGAAATTAGAATTTGACCTCATCTCTAAATTGTAGCTTTCTACCTCCTGCAATCCAGTCTGAATTGTAGGGCTGCACTCTTTAATCAGCAGATGGAGACGAAGAAAAAAAAACCCTCTTTAAGAAGGTTTAAGTGGCTCAGCCTCCCAGCCTTTTCACATTTTACTCTTCAGTATATCAGGCCTCTCCAAGAGTTTAATATCAAGTATTTATTCTACCTTCCATTTGTATTACTATAACTAAAACTATATGTGCCTAGTATAGTTCTGCCTCAATCCTGAAAACATCATCTTCAGTTAGATTTTTCAATGTATTTTTCTATCCTTTTCTTGGTCTTAGCTAAAGTTTGCATTTACCCCAAAATTAAAAAATTAATGTTTCCCTTTCCTTCTCCCTGCCCCCTCCCATGCATAGCTTCCACGTCACACAAGAACTACAGAAATTGATTTCCATCACGTGCCAATGGCTTCCACAACCCTGAAAACATCATCTTCAGTTAGATTTTTCAATGTATTTTTCTATCCTTTTCTTGGTCTTAGCTAAAGTTTGCATTTACCCCAAAATTAAAAAATTAATGTTTCCCTTTCCTTCTCCCTGCCCCCTCCCATGCATAGCTTCCACGTCACACAAGAACTACAGAAATTGATTTCCATCACGTGCCAATGGCTTCCACAACCCTGTA